GCCTGGCCTACCCGAGGGTTTGCTGGGACGCCGAGTGGGCCCCGTCTTCTGCCGGTTCATGGCCGACCGAGCCGCCCCCCTCCTCCTCTCCCCGTTTGTCCGCTCCTCTCTCCTACACCCCTCCACGTCCTCCTCCTCCTCCTCAGCCTTCTTCTTGGTCGTCGCAACAGCAGCAGCAGCCGGCGGCGGCGGCCTCCGATTGAGCTCTTCGGCCGACGGATCGCGGGCCCGAAGTTGACCGCAGCCGCCACCACCACCACCTACGCCTCCCCTACCAACATGGCCGCCGGCACGTCGCCCCACGTGCTGCTGTGACGTCACGCGGCGCGGGCCGTACTGCGGGGACGTCATGTTTGTTGCGTTCTCTCTCACACACACCGCTCGCTCGCTCGCCGCCCTCCCCCCACTCCTCCTCACCACTCACCACCACCACCACCACGCACTGCCACCGGGGGTTGGGGGGAGGGTGCCGCGCGTGTGGCTCGCCCGGGGGCTTCGCGTGCTGCGGCCGGGCCGGCGGGGAGGCCGTCTCGCGCTACGGCGCGCGGGTTTTTTTAATATATACCTGGCGCCGGTGACGTCACCCCGCCACGTGAGGCTGTCGGTGACGTCAGGCCGCCGATTGGCGTTGCGGGGGCGGCGATGACGTCAACTCGCAGACATTTGGCGGGTGACGTCGCCGTCCTGCGGCATCGACGAGTGACGTCACGTGTGTGCTGGCGGATGACGTCATTTGAGAGCGGCGTTGGCGAGGCATGTCCGCCCGCGGGGTTGTGATGCGTGGGCTCCATCTCGGCACCACGGAATGTATTCTTAGGGTTTTTTCGGTAAAGTCACGTAGGTAAAACATTAAAGTAAATAAAAAATAAAATAAAAATCACGACGTTTCGGAGGCAACACAAGCTTCCGTCTTCAGGTGGAACCGTCACAGCACGATTGCTGTATGAAGTTTTATTTTACTTTGATTAATTTTAATTTTTTACCTACGTGACTTTACCGAAAAAACCTAAGAATATGAATCATTGCAGTCACGAAAGCTTCAAATCTAGAACCACAGAATGTGTCTTATTGATGTTCTTATTGATGTCTTATTCACACGACTTGCACAGCAAGGATCTTGCTGTGAGGCACAGGTTGTTTACCCAGCAAAGCCTCAACGGGTCTCAAGACGATGTTTTTCCTTCAGGAGGGTCCTGCCAAGTTTTCACAACAGCGAGGCTGCTTTTGTGTGTAATCCCAACTGAAGCATTAACAGCGTAATTATTTTTTCAGCATATTTTTAGGTTTTTTCGGTAAAGTCACATATGTGACTTTACCGAAAAAAATCTAAAAATATGAATCCTTGCAGTCACGAAAGCTTCAAATCTAGAATTATTTTTTTAGCATTAAAAAGTCTTGACCAATACCAAGTTACAAGGTTGTTTTATCTTATGTTAGCTATGGCAGGAAAGTGGAGAACCCAGACGAAACCTATGCATAACAAATTCAAGTTAATTTATTTGGTAGAGCCCTGTGAGCCATTTGGCTCTTGAATCGGGTGCAACCGCAACAAACAAAAACATGAACAAGAAAACATCTTAAAGTGACTAAGTGCAAACAGAAAATCCAAGAAAAGACAGCAAAATATTGCAGAAAAAGCACCGTACACCAACGCTGTGTGCAAAAATCCCAGTGGGATGCAAGTCAAACAACAACAAGACAACTTAGATTAAGGCCATCAGTCTAACTCTGTACTACAACAAACAAACATGGCCAAACCAAAAAACTTTTCGAAAATCACCAAAATGAAGCCATGCAAGCAATGAAACAGTGATCATAGGAACTGTGACCGAATTTTCACAATAAACGACGTAAACAACATGTACCACCAAACCCTGCAGCCATAGCTGGCTGCATGAGTCACTCAACCGCATTCAATGACCGCTGCTTCGCGACCAACATTGATGAAGGACCCCACCGACACCGCCGCTGGTATCGCGTTCACCACCGCAGCGGTGTTGCCACTCTTGAAATATCAAGGTTTTTTTTTTGTTCCAAATTCGAAAAAAACAATAGCTCCTCTTGTTGTGTTTGTTGACCCATGCACTTGCCTCTTCTTGCACGTATCTCAATTGTTCACAAATACAGGGTGCCTAAAAATGTTTTTAACACTTATATGGGACTATCGTTTTTAATGGGAAAAGAACGGATAATTCACTGTAACATGATAACAAATGTGATGTTAATAGCTTTAAAAAGTCAGAGTTTCCACTTGTTCACCATCATTGTCAACGCGTACCTCCAATCTTCTCCAGGTGGTCTCCAGAGCCCGGAGTCAGCACATTTCTCGTGGCATTGTTGCAAATTCTCAGAAGTGTTCACATTTTTTTAAGCACCCTGTATTACAATGTCAAATGCTAGGAGTAATTACACCGAAATGTAAGGCTTGAGGCTGTTAATGTTTCAATTTAAAGCTTTCGTGACTGCAGGGATTCATATTCTTGGTCCTTTCGGTAAAGTCACGTAAAAGGGAAATAATAAAATAATTAAAATTAAACAAGAAAATGCTCACGACGTTTCGATTGCAACACAAGCAATCATCATCAGGTGTGAAAACCACAGTAATTTTTTTGTATGTAAGTTGAACTTCTTTCGCGCCATACGTAGCCAACCGTGCTTATCGTAGGTGCGGGGGAAGGGCAACGTTTCTAAACACACGAAGCGGTTCTAAAGAAATTACTTTTCAATCTGGATGTAAAAAGTGCTCAAGATCTCCCATCACACGACTGGCAGCAGAGTGGACTGCACATGTCTCGAAGAAGGTGAATGCGTAATGTGCCTTACAAGTCAGCCATTCTATCGTGTGATCAGCACCTGGGTACGTCTGTACAGAAGGTCGTGGGTTTTCGACCCCGACCCTGATGCCTGTATATTTGTAGTTTGCGTGTTCTGTCTCTCTCCCGGTAGTTGTGAGGATTTTTCTCCGGGTCCTCCGTTTTTTTCTTACACATTTAGAATCAACATCACACGTCGAGGGCATTTGGCTGCAATCCATTTGCACGTGATAAGCCCACTTCGTTGAGCTGTCTGTAATGGCCAGGTCGCTTCTGAGAAAAGAGCTGCATAACTCAGTGGTCCTTGGTAAAATAAAAATATTCTTGGTTCTTTCGGTAAAGTCACGTAGAAGGGAAATAATAAAATAATATAAATATAAAGCAATAAAAATTCTCACGACGTTTCGACTGCAACACAAGCAATCATCACGTCGTGAGAATTTTTATTGTTTTAATATTTATATTATTTTATTAATTCCCTTCTACGTGACTTTACCGAAAGAACCAAGAATATGAATCCCTGCAGTCACGAAAGCTTTAAATGAAAAAATAAAAATAGTTTGAATAGTTTTTACAGGAATAGTGTTCATCACTGCCTCCGCATGCTTGCGTTTACTCTGGATCCTTCGGTCTCACACTCATACATTGGCTGAGAACATTGATATAAAATCATACAATGTAGGAAACCTCCAAGAAAAAAAAAGTTATTGGACTAGTTCTGGCTTTTTAAAACAAATAAGCAGTTACTATGTTTTATAACATTTGCATTGCCACGTTAATGCAAGCGAACCCGGGGAGAGGGCTGCGTTACTCAACCAATGCGCACGGACAATCGAGTTTGAGCAACATCACTGACCATTTTGAAAAGTCACCGTATCTGTCAGTGGGCAAGTTGCCAAATTGCTGATGACAGGATACGGCAATTTGATATCATCAGCACGTGTTGTGTCAATCCTGCACACTCGCCATCAGCACTATGTAGCAACGAGCAGCTATAACATCACAATGAAATCCCCAAACATAAAACAATGCTGTAATAAAATTACTACGACTAAAATAGAACTAATACAAATGTATATCATTTAAAATAAACACGTTACAAACTCGACAATCGCAAATAGAATTGCACAAAAGCGTGGGGATTGGTGGCGCAATCTGACGAGTGATATTTTAAACCAGTCCTGTGCTTTCAAACTCACTAACCCACACAGACCGGCATGGTGAAGTATGGTCAAACAACCCCCTATGGCTGGACACAACGTGGCGAGGCCTTCATCCAGCAGTGGATTCAAGGGCTGAAAATTATTACAAATGTATCGTGTCAAAAGCAACACAAAAACTGTGACTTTCACTCGGTTAACAAGAGAATGATTTTTCTGTGTTTGACTCGGCGAAATTGAAGCATTAACTCAATACGTTCAATATGTGTTCACGCGCTGATATTCAGCAAAGAAGCTGAGACGAAAGCGGCGGATGGCACAGAGAACGAGACACAAGCGACCGTAGGTTAAACCAAACGGAATGGTGAATGAGAGCGGGTTTTGTTTGTGAGCTTTGCACACAACTCCTGTGTCTCTCTTTGCTACGTAACCGTGCAAATTCGGCACACAGCGCTGCAGTGACCTCGCCCATGGCCACAACTTTTGGTTTTTGCATGGTTTCAAAAGCGGGGTCGTTATTGTTCACGAAACGAGTAACGAATACGAGACAGACGTCCGCCCATGTACTCACAATCCTCCTGTACTCGAAGCACTGAAATTAATCTGGGTTTTTTCTGTCAGAATAAAATGTCAAGGTAATAAGTATTGTGAGGTTTGGTTTACATTTTTGGTTTACATTTTATTGGGTTTACATGTCCTGCTCATACAATTTACATGAATATGGGCCACGTGATGAACAGCAATGGAATCACGGTGTTAAAGATGGAGTAAAACACGTGCCATATTTAACGGGATATTCCACACGGCGTACAATTCAAGGCGTTAATCTTCTCGTCATAACCCGAAACTGTCGAAAACCTGATTTGGAAATATCCTGAACGTTTGCTGATCACCAAACAAATGTATATCTCGCGCGCATTGCAAAACCACAATTAATTACTCACCTTACTTAGCCTCACGTTGCACAACAACGGGTGAAGCAAGCGGGGCCTTCGATGTTTCGCTATTTAAGAGCCCCCCTCCTCCTGATACTGCACAGCATCGCCTCCTGTGCATCCCGCCTTCGGCTCGTTGTCTCTTGCAAGCCGCTGCAAAGCCCCTCATTCTCGCCATGCCTATCGTCGACTCTGGAAGTGTTGGGGCTCTGTCTGGCGCCGAGAAGGCTGCCATCGCCGACAGCTGGAAGGCCGTCTACTCCAACTACGAGGAGGCGGGCAAGGCCATCCTCATCAAGTGAGTGCCTCGTTGCTCGTTCGGTGCGAAGCGCCAAATGTGACGCGACCACCGCCACGTGGCGTCCGTTGCTCGGCGTGGCCACGTGCGTTTAACGGTGGCGAGGTGTATGTTAGTTGGACTTCTTTCGTACCGACCGTGCTTATCGGAGGTGCGGGGGAAGGACAGCGATCTTAACACAAAAAGCAGCTCTAACGTAATGAGTTTTCAGTCTAGATTTTAAAGAGCAGAGCTCCACCGGCTTCCTAATATTGGAAGGAGGAGCGTTCCAGACGGCCGCAGAAGCGCATCTGAAAGCGCGCGGAGCAGCGGCCGTCCTTGTCCGATGGCCAGCAGCCAAAAGCCGCTGCAGTGGGCATGGCCGGAGTTCGCGTGATGGTGCTTTATGCTCCTTGACGAGATCAGCAAGGCATTGTGGTTCAATTGTGACAAGCACTTTGTGTGTGTGTGTAATGAGTGCGACCCTACAACAATGTATCACTCGGCAAACCAGGAAGACAAATGCAGCTCGTCGAGTACTGCGCGGACAACCGATGGGGATGCTGCAGCTCCCGTGTCACGGCCACGTGCCGGAGAATTCGCTCACAGCCACCGACCGTCGCGAATTGTCACCGTCTCAATGCCACTGGGCATTTGGTGATACTGAGGCTGCTGCTGCTGCTGAGTTGGCAGTGGGGCACTAGCACAGATGACAACAACGACAACAAACACCTCTAACGCATTCGTCCATAGAGAAAACAATTGTTGACGCAGCGGCTCTTCTCCGTAGCACGTTATGTGCTCTGGAGAAGATGAACATGACCTGTTCTTTTGAGGCAGTGTTATTGACGAATATGCTGAGTTTTTGTTGTTTTAGCTTTGAGTACAGATTAAGTGAGCGGGCGAGACAAAATAATACCAATCAACGAGTGTGAGCACACGTCAAAAGTGCAACGCCTCTGCTGTGAAGGAAGAGCTAAGTGTTGAAACCGGAAAACCTGCAAACGAGAAGTTGGATCTCAGCGAGATTTCCCAGGTGAAATATCTGAATGTAAAAAAAAAATACGAACTCAGAATATTCCCGAGCGGAAACATTCATCCCTGCAAACTCCATCCCCCGTGACGTCGGTGCTAGGGCAGGGTCATAGATGCCTCTTCCCGTGTTGGCCAGCATGTTTCCATCATCAGCTGGAGATGATTTCGCACGACACTCGGCCACCACATTGACGTTGCGTTTTGTCTCCCGCCAGGTTCTTCACGTCCAACGCCGGCGTGCAGGACTTCTTCCCAAAGTTCAAGGGGCTCGACTCGGCCGACCAGCTGAGCAAGTCGGCCGCCGTGCGCTGGCACGCCGAGAGGATCATCAACGCCGTCAACGACGCCGTGGTGGCCCTGGACGACCCCGAGAAGCTGAGCCTGAAGCTCAAGGCCCTGAGCAAGAAGCACGCCCAGGAGTTCAACGTGGACCCCCAGTACTTCAAGGTGCACTCACTGACTTTACCGTTGTTCGCTTGCCAACGCAAATCTTGGTCACAAGCCACGGGGCACAATTCGCTCAGTGATGAAGCGCAGCTTACAGGAGCGCGCGCGCACACACACACGCACATAACACAAGCTCCCTGGAATTGGTAGCGTGCAGATTATAAATGTGAATAACCACTGTGGGAAATTGCGCAGCCCTACGATTGCTTGTTCATGCCACTGCTGGCAGAACAGCATCCACCGCAGAGGAGTTACCGAGCCCCCTCGAGAGGCTATTTGATGTCAAATGAATGTCAGTGGTCTTGGAACAGGTCTGAGCGAACCCACGCTTTATCCCATCACGTGCGACCTGCCCATCGAATAAGCGTGGTGGTGGACCCATTCACGCCGCTGGGTGGACAGGCGCTGGGGGGAGGGGGGGGGGGTTAAGAAACCTGCCCCATAGTTTCAACTGCCGCGTCGGAAGATCGGATTGAACCGACGACAATAACACCACCACTTTGGCAGCACGTGTGTGTAGAGTTACATATATAGGCACAGCAGGAGGCACAGCTGGTGCATCTGCCAGTCATCTCAGTCAGCCAACCCGTGGCACCTGGGTCTATCCCGTGACCTGTCAGCGAGCCTTCGACACTTCACGTGGCCTCAAAGTGCACCTGGCCTGGCACAGGTACACCGTCACTTAGTGACGAATGGCGGGTATTGGTATATATATATAGAAAGTCACGCGCTGAAAATGCGTGCTTTGTCTCCTTCTGTCTGCGTCTGTGTGTGCAGGTTCTGGCTGTTAACATCCTGGAGGGGGTGTCTTCTGCTAACGGAGGCTTAGGGGACGAGGCTAAAGCAGCTTGGGAGAAATTCCTCAGCCAAATCAGCATCCTGCTGAAATCCCAGTACTAGAGGCCCTCCGACCAACCGCCAACGTCCTGGAACATGACAACGAACAGCTGCTCCACGCAATTTGCTTCCCATTCGCTAAACTGGCACCGTGGACACCGCCCTCTCTGTGCCGGCATTTACACAAACAGACCCTGGCCCGAACCAGCGCCCTGACCCACGGTAACTCTGTGGAGCTGGTCCGCAGTGTATGACAACGCCAAAATAAAGTGTTTTTTTAAACTGAAATCCCACTGTTGCGTGTCTCATTTCTCCCTTTGTTAACTCCTGGTGCATAACTGTAGAATCACAGCCATTTATTTGTCAGGAGCCTCAGATGGCTCGATGTCTACACATGCCCCTGTAGGAGGGAGTTTGCGCAACTCAGTCGTTGAGCTCCAGCGCGCAGCGCGCGGTGTTGTTGTGAGATTGGTCACGTGCCCCAGCGGTTGCTCAATCGAGATCGGGTCCGACCGCGTCGCGCAATTGAACTAAGGCGCTCTACAGATAATTAAGAATGGCACGACGTATGAATGCGATGGTGGAGATGAGGTGAATACAATAGACGAGGAGAGGAAGCAGTGGGCGGGGGCGAATTTGTGATGGTACTGAATTCGGAGAAAGCCAGATTGATGACAGTAAATGTTCGTCAATGGATTGAATGAATGAGGGTTAATGAGTGATAGCCGTGTAATGAGAATATGAAGAGGGAATGGTAAGGGTGGCGGTGGTTATGAGGGGGAGCTTAGGGGGGGGGGAGGGTCGTGGGGTGAGCTAGGGACAACAATAAGTGAGTTGTGTGTGAGGAGCGGAAACTTGGTGAGCGAAGGTGACCGCTTAATGTGGAGTGGGAAGTTTGTTCCAGTGAAGGGTGGTGGGCGAGAAGAGAGAGAGCGAGCGACAGCGTGGATTGAGCACAACGAGGAGGAGAAACACACGGAGAGAGAGAGAGCGAGAGGTACAGCAGGGCTCGCGTGCAGACACCAACACAGTCCACACCCTCAAGCATCGCGTGCGATGCTGTCTGTTGTATACTAACCCTTCTTCCATAATTGAGATTAATAATATTTGATGATTTTTATATATTATCTTTTTACTTGTTTTTTTAATGAGTGAAACACACCAAGCGCAGCAAAACTGCAAAACACCAGGTGTTGTTAAGTAATGAACCGGAGGAGGGCTAGGATGGCAGAATTTACAACGTTGCTTCAAGGGAAGATAAGGCCTGATGAACGGGCACATGTCACCCGTGCAGGCGGCAGAGACAGTGGGAGTGTCAGCCAGACATAGTTAAGGCAAAAGCCCAATCATCCTGCATGGTTTTAAAGTAACGTCAAAATTCGAAATTCAACAACAGAGTAGGCTAAATTATCGATCCTCGCGCTCGCTCAAATTGGAGACCAGGCTGCGAGCTACATCAATGAACCATTGCCCATTTGCTAATCCAATACTGAATGTTAATATTACTGAAGTCAAAACGAATTCTATGACCTCAGCACATGGGCAAATAATAGGGCAGTGTCGACTCAAAGGCAATGGAAGAAAACAGAGGCGCCTTTGTCTAAATCACAACCACAGAAAGCCAGGAATCATCACTGATTGTGTGTTCAGGAATTCCGAGCTAGTTAGAACACGTGCACAGGGGGGGAGCTGATGTAAACAACCCTGCGCGTCTGGATGTGAGGGGGCCTTGGACCTGGAATCAAGAATAAACACTCCCAGAGCAGAAGGTTGGCAGGGGGAGAGGTGATTTAAAAGAGGGTTGTATATCTCTCAAGGCACAAGACCCAGCTGAACAACACGGCTGCGGGGGTCACCAGAAGTTCGCATTCGCCTAGTTAAGACAAAAAGCTCAATTATTCTGTATTGCTATTAAAGTAACGTTAAAGTCGGAATTTAACAACAGAGTAGGCTAAAGTTATTGATATTCACACCCACTCCAATTAAACCAGGTCACAAGTTACGCCTACTGAACCATCACCATCATTAAGTCAATATGAAATGTTATTTCCATACTTCAATACTTTCTATACAATTCGACCCGAAGCATATGACAATCAGAACCTTCCTAAGTCAAAATTGAATCGCACCCAGACAGGAGCGAATAGTCAATATAAGGTTGAAGAGGGAAGGAAATCAAGAGCACGGCGAACTGCAAACGTAAGCAAAAAGCCGGGAACAACACCAGCCCAGCAACAGCGAGTGGGGCTTCGACAGGCCATAAAGTAGAATAATAACTCCCGGGGTCAGGGGACACAAGAAGAAGCAGGCAGACAAAAACCAGAACTGACTCCAAGGTTCAACCGCCCTCACCTACTCAGGGGTGACGGAAATTAATGAGGCCTTGAATTAACGGCAGGCAACAACAACGGCGAGCAGAGATAGGGTGGGGCAAAGACTGCGGGCTAGGAATGCAACTTCGTGTCAGTAAAGCCCTGACAAACAAGTTAAGTTAAAGACATCACAATACATAATATCGCACATAACATCAATGTTAACGCTATTCACCGTAAACTATATTCCGCTTATATAACCATCCAGGCACCAAGGAATACGAATTCCTAGGATCAAGAAACTTACCCCTTAACCTAAGATATCGGAAATAAATTAATAGTAATAAGTATATGCATGAAAGACAAAAGTAAAACTTATGGAAAAGCCAGGATAACGGGATGAATCACCACCAGGTCGAATATAAATACATAATAAAAAAAAACGATGTTAAACCCAGGGTCGGAGAGAAAGGGAGATCCCGGCCGTCTTTGTATCCCCGCAGCGCGGGATAGGAGTGTGTGTACGCTCGGGGAAACACCTACACTTGGGTCGGGAACCACGATGGGAAACGACAGACCTTAGGTTACATACAGAATCATAACTGTGAAATAGTAAGGGACAAATGTTAACTTAAAACTTTTAACCATTTCTTTGTGCGCCGGGTCGGAGAGAGTGTTGCCCCCCTCCAGGTTGTGCAACACGAACAAAGACGCCTATGAGACGATTTGTAACGTCTGTGTTTTGGGTTCATGAAGAAGGCCAGACAAGAGATAAATTGCACCCAGACAGAGAGACGACTTCGAGACAATTTGTAACATCTGGTTGTTTGCTCGTGGGTTTTATGGAGGGAGTTGACAACGGAATATACCGTCAGTGATGCACACAAGGACATACGGACACACACATGGACACACCTGCCTACGGACAGATCCTGACACAGCAAAAATCGGAAGCCCCGCCTTGTGGGCGGGATCCAGGGGGATTTTTCAGCATAAAGGAACGGATCCTGAACATTGGAAACCAGTGCGACGGGAGGGTCCACTCAGAAGCTCGACCGGGAGGGTCGACTCAGGAACGAGTGCGACCAGAGCGGGTCCACTCAGGAGTGCGACCAGAGAGTCGACTCAGGAGCGAGGGCGACCAGCGGGTCGACCCAGGAGCGAGCTCGACCGGGAGGGTCGACTCAGGAGCGAGCTGCGACCAGCGGGTCGGCTCGACTCATCTTCAGCTCGTCAATCTCTGCTGCCGCCGGAGATCTCCGCTGCCGCCGGTGGTGAGCGTCGCGACTTGGCGACGATCCAGCGCTGCACGCTACGAGCGAGTTGTGGGCGCCACCTACCGACCGGGTTCCGAACTGCGACAGCGTATCAACAGCCATCCGAGCCAATTCACCACGGTGACAGGAGAGCGCCTGATACGTATGACGCGCACCGCCCCCTCACCACACGACCACCAGGCGTCTGTTTGACATAAAGAATCGACTCCGAACACTGACTATTCAAGACAACTCTTACCACTCAAACACACTCGAACCCATAAGTCATCCGTGGCTGGGAAGGCATCACAACGAGACCGAGTGGTGGCCTCCGTCGTATAAGAGTATTCTTAATTTTTATCTTTAATATTTAGTGGGCTGTACTCTTAATCGCATAAATTCCCAACAGATCCATCAATACGAACTGATTCTTGGCACCTCCTTCCGCCGAGCCACGCTCACGTGGGGAGTGGTGGCCACCGGATCCTTATCAGGTGATCTGGTCCCCAATTAGTAAACTTGGTATAAGATAACGATCTTCGGAAAAGGAGCACCGTCGCAGGCCCTTACTCCGAGCCGTTCTGCTGTCAGATAACCTGCCGATGTATCTGTTGAGATTGGTGCCTTTAAGAATAGTAACTGTTTTGATTGTGTTTTTTTTTTTTCGCCGTATAATCTTTCAAGTATCTTTCAGTCATAATCGCCGCACGTACTCGCATCCTCTACAGAATATTCAACTGTCCCGTGACCCAAGGTGTTAACAACGTGATAAGGGTTGCGTATGATCAATAAGGAGTGCGGTACTGCGTGAACAATATTGAGTATAATCATTCATTAACGTTAAGGTTTTCTTAGCATAGTATTTGCATGTTTTAACGACTCTCTCTCTCACTAACAACCATCGCGTTATGCGGGATCCATGTGCAGTTGTCAAAGTGAAATCAGACAATCGTTGATGATACTGTATTGATGCCGTATTGACGTTCCGGGATTGAGAGTTCGCATACTATATCATAGTTAAGGTTGAATTAGTAATAAATTGATCAATACAGAAGTGGTTGTGTGATTCTTTCCTGAAATCTATGCATAAGATCTGCTTCTGCGTTGAGATTTGAACTTGGTGACCTTAATAAACACACTAATACATACTCAGTAAATGTTAAAGCGATAACGGGGTGAACCGGGGTCTGGTTATCATAACGACTTGCGTTATCATAATTACACCCACTCGCATAATTAATACGATTACCTCTCGAATTGGCATAATTAAAATGTGCGTAATTACATAAATTAACATATTTCCGGATAATTACACTATTTGGCCAAATTTCATTTAATTATTATTATTTCCACTGAATATTCATAACCCACATATACAACATAATAATTCACCCACGCACGCATACAACATAACAAATTTTCATACCCAACATATACAACATAATGGGGGCTCGTCTTCCGGGATCTCTCGCAGACAGGTTATGCATGAATTCAGGAACGAATCACTGATGTGTTAATCAAAGTGTTGTGAACTAACGTTGCCTTGTGATTGTAAACGGGGGTATACAAACAAAACGCGCTCTGAAGGGAGGTACCAGAGTAGCAGAGTATAAAAAAGACAGCTGGGCTGAGATTATTTGCTCGAGTTAAACTGACGCATCCTGTGATACAATTGTTTATATGTGCTCTGAAAGGGAATTCTAGAGTAACTCACGACGCA